ACAGAGCCAATTCTGTGGATGGGGATGACTGGGAGGCCATGATTAGATTAGATTAGATTAGATTCAACTTTATTGTCATTACACATGTACAAGTACAATGCAACGAAATGCAGTTTAGGTCTAACCAGCAGTGCAATAGCAGCAAGTGCAGGATACAGGAATAAGTTATAAAGTGCAGTTATAGAAAACTATGGTGATATTTACAGATGGATGTACTATGAACATTATATACAGGTTGGATAAGCTATGAACAGATTTACAATATATGAATATATGTGCAGGTTGCTATTAATAATCAGTAGTGTTCAGATAAATAAACATGATTACAAGTGTATATGTTACAATATATGAATATATGTACAGGTTGGTATTAATAGTCAGTAGTATGCAGATAAATAAGCATGATTACAAGTGTAATCAAAAGTGTAATTACAAGTGTTACAAATGATGGGTAAGGGCTTAAAGAGGGAATTTGGCCAGGACACCGCGGTTACACCCTTACTCTTTACCAGAACTGCCATAGGATTTTAATGACAACACAGTGAGTCAGGACCTCAGTTTAACGTCTCATCCGAAAGACAGTGTTACCTGACAGTATATTGTCCCCTTGACTATACTGGGGCATCAGGACTCACACAGACTGCAGTTTGAGCGCCCCCTGCTGGCCTCACCTTTGTGGTCTCTCATCCAGGTACTGACCAGGCTCAGCCCTGCTTAGCTTCAGTAAGTGACCGCTCTTGGGCTGCAGGGCAATACGGCTGTGGTTTGCTTAAAGAGCAAATTATACTTAAAAATAAACGATGACCACATTGAGATTTTTTAATGAAAATAAAATATGGGCATCAGAGGGTTAATATCTTGCTATATTATCTTTTTGTCATGATTGTTCTGACCTTTTCAGTCTAACAGCTGGCCTTGTTATCCGTTTGCACTGTAAATAACCATCTATTTTCATTCCGTCCTGCCTCAAATGGCTTTTGGATTTGCCGTGAGCATTAATGTCTGATTCAGAAGTTGTTGTCTACAGAGTAAAGTTTGTCGTGGGTGGCAGCATAAGCCAAACCAGAATATCTGCGGCAGCAAACCAAAGCCACATGTTTTGCATGCCAGAGAGTTAAGTTTGCATAAATGCTATAGCATGTCAACAGTGGGGGTTGAAAAGCCACGTGCGGGTGTGTCTCTGGCTTCTGGAGGAGGTTTTAACCTGCACACACAGTGACCACATGCAGTTTCCTGGCAAGAATCAAAGAGCAAAGCGCTGTCAGGGGCCTGTGGGCTTCAGCATATGATAAGAGACTGCATCAAACACTAGCAGGGCTTTATTTACAATGCTCAGAGTGCCTGTAGTTCCTCTACAACTCTGTTTTTTTTCTTAACCCTTTCATCAGACGCATCCCTGTGCTCTGAGAAATTTCCAGAGAACTGTCCGGGTGTTGTTTTTGCAATGTTTGTGAAGCTATTTTTCACAGTAACTCTCCTCGGTTACTAAAAGCAAATTCAAAACTGACACTAAACCAAGAGTCAAATGAATTCATTCTCTCACTTTAATAATGGCACAGTCTGCAGAAACACTTTGATTGACATTCTCCCATTGTACGTGTCATCAGAGGTAGAAAGCCCCGCCCACTAGTGACCATCTCTCCCTCATTAGCATAGGATGTTAGTCTTGTTTTTGAATCTGCCACTATGCTGACACACAGGCATTTGTAGCTCTGTCCTCGTCAAAAAAGAGCACAATCTCATTTGCATTTAAAGCGACAGTCACCAAAAATATGACCAAAGCCTAAAGAGGGAAGTTTTGGGAGACATTACACAGTAATTGTGAACTATTTTTACAGTAACTCGCCTCAGTTATTAAAAACTGGCACTAAACGAAGAGCCAAATGTGAAGCGCCTTGCATGATGCCTCATAGATAAATATAACTTATGCAACACACACACACACACACACACACACACGAGGCAGAGGAAATACAACACTCACGTAACACTCAGTGCTAATACAAGTCAATTAAACATAGTAAACACTCAAATTATGTCATGATTAATATTGTTATACATCATTTAAACATTGATAGGTTCTTGTTATTGTGTAGTCCTACTTAAAAAGTAAATGGGACTTTTGATTGGTAATTTAAATTTTAATAGTGTAAAATGAGGTCTCGTTTGTGGTTGTATTAGTTAATGCATCAGCTAATGAGCAACATAGTTCGACCGGTTTAACCTATAGTGATCATAACAGGGTTATAACAGGTAAGACAAAAACTAAATTTATTGGCCAAAATCAATCACAATCTAAACTAAATCACGTTAAATTAAACTAAACTTAAAAAACCAAATCTAAAATCTAACACTAACCTATTAATCTAAAATTATTTAAATAAAAATAAGAAATAACAAAAATAAATTATTAAACTAAATAAAAAAATCAACTAAAAACAAATCTAAAATATAACCCTAACCTATTTGAAATTAATTAAATTAAATTAAATTAATAAATAATAAAAAATATATAAATAAATAAATAAAAAATAAATAAGACTAAACCGTAACCCAAACTATTAATGAACAGATTAATTAATGAAATTAACCTTATCTAAAATCTAATCCTAACCTATCTGAAACAAATTAAATAAAAAATAAATGAATAAGTAATAATAAAAAATGTAATTCAATTAAATAAGAAAAATAAATGAAAACCAAATCTTAATAAAAAACATGAATAAATAATAAACAATAAATAAATAAAAAATAAACAAAATAAATAATCATTTTCAGATTTCATCAGCACTAAATGTTTAATTTTTTCTTTCAATTCTTGCATTTTTTACGGTTTTGGATTCAGTATTTGTTTAATTTCTTTTTACTTTAATTAATTAAATAAACAGAAATGTGACCACAAAATAAAAACTAAACAAAAATGATTAAATCCATGAATAAAAAATAAATAAAGTTAATAAAACACAAATGTACAGCAAATTAAAAATAGTTTATTAAAATAACTAACTAATATAAACTAAATTTTATATATATATATATATATATATATATATATATATATATATATATATCTATATGAATAATAATATATCTAAACTAAATAAAAACTGAATAAAAAATGCAAAGCTATAATAACCTTGGTTCATTCACCATGCATAACTAATGTAATTACACATGTAAATTAAGTAGTAAATGTCGAGATTAGCTTTAACTAAAATAGAATGTTAAAATAGATCTTGAATGCTATCAAATGAAATGCAATTCTAAAGTGTCACTAATTATATTGTGTGTTTAACAGTTGAAGTCAAAATTATTAGCCCACTCGTGAAAGGTATATTATTTTATAGATATTCCCAACATATTTTGAAGCATAACCATTTGAAAAACTCATTTCTAATGAACAATGTATGTCGTCGTTGCCATGATGACAGTGCATAATATTGTTCTAGCTATTTTTGCAAGAGAGCCTTTAGCTTAAAGTGCAATTTAAAGGCTTATTATGGTAATCAGGGTCAACTTTACATATTGTATGTCATATATAACATTGATATTAAGCATAATCATGCATATCAAGCATATAAATGATGTGGCTAGTAATAAGAAATCATTAATGAATGCTCAGATTAATTATGACATAAACAGTCAGTGCAGTGGTTACACTTTACAATAAGGTTTCATTAGCTAATGCATTCACTAATATGAACTAAGATTGAACAATACTCATAGTACAGCATTGATTACTGCATTATTACCATCCAAATGCTTGTAAACATTAGTTAATACACAGTGAGTTAACATGAACTAACAATTAATCTGAAATTAATTAAACAAAAACAAAAGAATAAATAATAAAAATAAATAAAAAATAAATTAATAGATTTAATTTAAAAATAATAAAAAAATAAAGAAAAAACATATCTAAAATCTAATCCTAACCTATCTGAAACAAATTAAATAAAAAATAAATGAATAAATAATAATAATAAAATTTATTCAATTAAATAAGAAAAACAAATAAAAAATAAATCTTAATAAAAAAACATGAATAAATAATAAACAATAAATAAATAAAAAATAAACAAAATAAATAATCATTTTCAGATTTCATCAGCACTAAATGTTTAACTCATTATTTTTTCTTTCAATTCTTGCATTTTTTACGGTTTTGGATTCAGTATTTGTTTTTACTTTTTACTTTAATTAATTAAATAAACAGAAATGTGACCACAAAATAAAAACTAAACAAACATGATTAAATCCATGAATAAAAAATAAATAAAGTTAATAAAACACAAATGTACAGCAAATTAAAAATAGTTTATTAAAATAATAAAATAACTAAACTAAATCATGCATATCAAGCATATAAATGATGTGGCTAGTAATAAGAAATCAGTAATGAATGCTTAGATTAATTATGACATAAACAGTCAGTGCAGTGGTTACACTTTACAATAAGGTTCATTAGCTAATGCATTCACTAATATGAACTAAGATTGAACAATACTCATAGTACAGCATTGATTACTGCATTATTACCATCCAAATGCTTGTAAACATTAGTTAATAAACAGTGAGTTAACATGAACTAACAATTAATGACTTTATTTCCATTAACTAATGCTATAACTAACAAAAATACTGTAATTAATGTTATGTTCATTGTTTGTTCATGTCAGTAAATGTATTAACTAACGTAACCTTATTGTAAAGTGTCACCAGTGCAGTGCAGTTCCCGTCCACGTTGTTGTTCTGACCATGAACTTCCAGCAGCAAATATTTAACCGTCATGAACGTTTATTTTAACGTCCTTCATTCATTGCCAAAGACCTCCAACATCACAGAGAGATGGATTAGATTGAAAAGTAAAAGACTAATCCAACTCGATCACACACTTCACGCACAAAAAGAAAAGTTAAATGGAGCCAACGCTCGAGCAAAGAAAAGCACACAATAATTGCGCTTCTTCTTTTCAAACCCCAGGTTTTCAAGCCACTTACCTTTCCCAAGGTCCTGTGTGGTTGTTCCAAGGCCATGTTTTTGCTTGTGCTGAAAGTGTGTTTGCACAGAGGCTGCTATACTGTCATTGTGAAGGCCCGTGTGTGTGTGTGTGTGTGTGTAGTGAGAGTGTCGAAATCACTCTCTCTCTCTCTCGCTCTGACCGCCATTTATAGAGCTCAGAGAGCCACAAATAGACAGCAGACAGCGGGGAGCCCTTGACAACAATCACTGGAACCATTTCCTGTGATGGGGGATCATTTAGTTCCTTGCACTAAAAGTAATAAGCGTGAGACTGTGCAAGTAGTGCTGTGGAGCTGGAGTGACTGCAGAGAGGAGCAAAAATAAATAAGCAAATAAATAGTATTGATTCTTCATTCGTTCCTTCATTTTCCTTCAGCCTAGTTGCTTATTCATCAGGGGTCGCCACAGCGGAATGAACCGCCAACTATTCCAGCATATGTTTTACACAGCGGATGCCCTTCTGACTGCAACCCAGTACTGGGAAACACCCATACACTCTCACATTCTCATACTCATACACTACGGCCATTTTAGTTCATCAATTCCCATATAGACCTTTTTCTTGGAACGCAAAATTACCCATAATGCTTTGCGTGTATGCGCAAGGAGAATGCGAAGAACTTCCGGTCGGCAGCTGATGCGTGTAAACAGTCACATTTGGACAGCTTTGAAACGATAGTTTTAATCTATTTTACCTGCTTTTATCCTCTTTGAACTAACACTGTTGTCCATCAGCAGCATCTCCTGGACTGATCATTTACAGAAATGTGATCTAATAGGATGGAAAACAGCTGCTGTGAGGCGTTTTCCCCTCGTCGTCAGACGGCATCTTCTGCAGTTTAAATGAAGCCTCGTCATCGCTAAAGTCAACATTTTCTCTTTATTTCAAATATATAACCAGCTCAAACACATGTAGTTCACCACAATGTTGGACACACACACGTAGCCTGTACTGTGCCACTGACACACTGATTTAATAATGCTGACAAAGTGAAAATATAGGCTAGTGTCATTTCCAAATGACAGAAAAACACAAACCGTGGTGAAAACAACACACGAAATAAAACACAAACGGCTCGCGATTAGAATGAACAGCAAATCAGCAGCAGAGGATCAATAACAGACTTTTATTGATCATTTTTGTAAATTGCACGACTTTCATACCTGTTAAGTTTCATGCCAGCACTCTGGTTTGCTCTCTCTCTCTCTGTGTGTGTGTGTGTGTGTTAAAGAGCCGCTGAGCTAACAGCTGACAGGCCGGGAACGCACGCACACACACAAAGTATTTCTGACGGCAGACACGTGAACTAGGAGAACGTTTTTCTCGTATTTCTGACGCGCTTGAACCACACGTGACAGATTATGACGGCTTTAACAGACACATTTCTAAGTTGTGTCACAAAAACACTCTGTTATCCATTAAAAACGTTATTGAAACCCATTTTCGGAGCGCAAATTACCAGTTGAACACGCTGTAAACTGAAGTTTTTAGCATTCTACCGGAAGACGCTGGTCGCTATGGCGCCCGCCATACAGCAGCCATGAAAAACGTCTATAACTCATGTTCAAACACTGGATGATTCATTATTGTGAAGCTGTCCGCTGAATAAAGCAGGCGACTGAAGTACTGGGCTATGTTTACTGGTTAGGCTTTGGGTGGTTTGTCTATTTTACGCTCTTCTTTTCTCATTCCTAACAGACTCCAGAACTGTCTAGACTTTTCAGATTTCCAGCTGCAGAATTAAGTGAGCAGAACAGAGAGTGAACGGTTCATCACTGCCAGCGTTTTCTGTATTTATTTTCAGCTCGCAGAGTTTCAGACGCTTTATAAACGCTACCAAGAGATTTTGAAGTCACTATAGAGTCAATAGAGAGCAATTGATTGTGAGGCCATATCTACAGTAGAAGAGTAATGTGCTGATACTGTGCTGGAGTCAGGTATCATTGATCAACTGCAAAGACTGTGACTTTACGGTTAGAGGTCTACCACTATTGAGTGTGTTCAGTAAAACGGCCTTTATTCAACTGATTAATCCGGCAGTAATGGTGTAATGAATTACCAAAGACAAACAAAGACTTTGGGCCCTATCATACACCCGGCGCAGTGTGACGCAAGGCGCGGCGCAGTAGTCTTTTGCTAGTTTCAGCTTGGCGCAAGAGTCATTTTGAGGCGTTGGGCTACGCTGTTTAAATAGCAAGTGCATTAGCGCTCATATGTGCGCCCATAGGCGTTCTGCTCAAAAAAGGAAGGTGTTCTGAGGCGGACCGCTGGCGCGTCGCTATTTTGAGAATCTATAATAGATTTTTCATTAGACCAAAACAAACCCGGTCTAAACTCCAGCGCAGAGTTGCGCCTCGCTTACACACTGCTTAATACACACAAGAGAGCAATAGCCAAATATCTTTACATATGAAAACATTTAAATATTAAGAGAATATATAGGATATAATAAGAATAGATATAGAATATAAATATAAAGGATTAAAATATTACAAAACATATTATTTTCTAGCCTACATAAATATGAAAAACCACTGCTTTTATGTCTTCTTCATCTCGGGAGGCTTTTTCAGTTCATTCATAACAATTTGCTTTTGTATAATGTTATTATTATTAGCAGTATTATTTATTATATTTATATTTGTTTTATTAAAAACAAGCTTAGATTTGCCCACCTGTCAGGTTTTAGACCATGGGGCTCAGCATGTGTTTTAGGATAGAACTCAGGTTTTTGAGCACACTTCATTATTATTGTTCATTTATTTGTTTGCTGGAAATTAGAACTGAATTTAGAAATAGTTTTGAAACGAATATTTGCGCTTAACAAACGCAATTAATTATTTATAGACTAATTGATGTCTGTGTGTAAAGGTTTCCCTATCCAAAAGTGAAAGTAGATCCATTATCTCTCATTCTCACGCAGTAGATGCTCTGTTTAACAGTTTTCTGTTAAAAAAAATTACTATAATCTATATATACTATAATCTTACTATATAGTTTACTATAATCTTCTATGTGAAGCTGCTTTGACACAATCTACATCGTAAAAGCGCTACACAAATAAAGGTGAATTGAATTGAATACACAATTCACATTTACAAAATTTAATTTGTAATTTTAAAAAACACATCGTAAACGCACACATTCAATTGATTTGGGGAAATATTTATGAATTGTGTTTTGGGTGGCACGATGGCTCAGTGGTTTCCACAGTCGTCTCACAGCAAGAAAGTTGCTAGTTCGAGTCCTGACTGGGCCAGTTGGCATTTCTATGTGGAGTTTGCATGTTCTCCCCGTGTTGGTGTGGGTTTCCTCCGAGTGCTCTGGTTTCCCCCACAGTCCAAACACATGCGCTATAGGGGAATTGAGTAAATCATCCACACTGTGTAAAACATATGCCGGAATAGTTAGTGGTTCATTCCACTGTGGCGACCCCTAGAATAAAGAATAACCAGAAGGATATTGAATGAATGAACTGTGTTGTTAATTCACAAATTGGATTGTGTAAAGGTTCTGTCGATGTATAGGTTGTTTTTTTCCAAATGTATTATTTTTGAGACTGATCTGGCTCCATACTTTAAAGGCGAGTTTCTCAATAGTTCGATTTTGGGCTCTGAGGATCTGCAACTCAGCGAGCTGAAATTAATTACAGAAAAAGCTGATGGTGATGAAGCGTTCACACTCTGTTCTGCTCACTTAATTCTGCGAAGCTGGAAATCTGGAAAGTTTAGACAGGCCGGGGGAGTCTGTTAGAAATGAGAAAAGAAGGGCGAAAGCAGACATGCCTAATCAGTAAACATAGCCCAGTACTTCAGTCGCCTGCTTTATTCAGCGTACAACTTCAAAATAATGAATCACTGAGTGTTTCCAAACAAATCTGTTTACTATTCTGCTGTGCGTCGACCTGCAGCGTCCACCTTCTGCAGTTATTCTGAACCACGTACGCGTCTGGAGGAATGGAGCTCAATCATCTCAGCGGGCGGTGCGGGGGTTTCTGGCGTAAGAGTTAGTTTGGGTTATAAGTAATAAGTTTGGGTTAAATAAGAAGAGCTCATGTACAAAGAGTTGCGTTGAATTCATACTAAAACATTGCGTACGGACAAGGCTGTAAATGTGTGTACGCAGTAGAAAAATCAGAACACTGTGTTTGTAGAATCCCACGCATATTATATTTGTATATACGAATTAACGTGAAACTGAGCGCACGTGCACGAGCGCAAAACCCCTCCCTGCCTCCTCCCCCGTATGAATATGGTAATGACTCCACTTTAGCAAAACCAAACCAAAAAGCAACGGCAAAAGCAAACAAGAAGAGAAACTTTACAGAATGTGAATTGGAGGTGCTGCTATCGGAGGTAGACTGGAGAAAAACGGTATCCGGAATTAATAACAAAAGAAAAGTGGGAGAGTCTAGCTCATGCGGTTAACGCAGTGGTGTCTGAACATCGCTGAACTAACACCCTTTGAGGAGAGAGTTGCCTCAATTGTTGGCGACACTTTACTGTCTGGAGTAGTATCTGTGTCTGGGAGACACCGAGGTATTAGAGGAACACTTTGTTAAAACGGTATAGCAGCACCCCTCCGCTCTTATCAAGGCAGCGCCACCGGCATTTCAGCTGCCCCATCGCCCGCTCTACAACTGTCTGAGAATGGGCATCTTTGTATCTGCGCTCTTGGTCAGTTTGTGAGTTGTTGATGGGGGTTAACAGCCACGTCTTTAATGGATAACCGCGGCCTCCTGATATGCAGTTAGATAAATAGTGTCAAATTTTTTAAAAATAAAAACTTAGCTGGAATAATATCTTTAAATACATCACTCACCCATCGTGCACCCGGCCACCATCTTGGAGACTTCAGATTCGACCATTGACAGTAGCTCCTTTCACAAAGTGATACCGGTAAATATCCGGAACAACTTTACCGGTAAATTTAAAAAAGCGCTGTTCACACAGGCGAGGACGTTACAGAATTTTTACGGGAAAGACCAATCATACATCCATTCCAAAATAGCGGTAAATTCATCATTAACCAGAAATGAGCTCTAAACAGCAGCACTTGTATATGTAAACATTTGACTACATTACAAACTCTGCGGATGGATCTGTATTGTGAACAACTTCGATGGAAACATATAGAGGAACACTTTCGCATGTCGAGATGTACATGATAAGTGTGTGTGCTGGCGCTCACGGGCTGCTTCACAGGCACACGCGACGCGTCAAGCACCTGAAGGAAGCAGAGCTTGAAGGTAAACAAACAATGGCTTATCGTAAGCATCTTATCGATAATTATTTACACAGTTGGCATTAAGAAGGAACATAGAAACGTTATCTGATTAACTTCTAGCAGGTAAATGTGTCTGGAAAAATACTCAAAGGCTTTCATTCTCATAAACCACGTAGACGTGAATGTGTCTGACTATACTGATTGGCTAAAGTATATATATATATATATATATATATATGTATGTATAGTATCAATTAACCCATTTCATCAATTATAAATGAATAGCAGTGTTTTTCACATGTGTGGGTGCGATACTTTGTAGTGTGCAATTTAACATAACTGCCTCTAGGAGTCGCCAATGGAAATAAAGCAAACACACGCACGATATGCACGTACGCCAGGCATGAGGCTGGCGTGGACCAACGCATATTCTCATGCTAATTTCATCGTTAGTAAATCCAAACGTTATCGTAAAACCTGGCGTACGCAAAGTTTTTGTGCGTACGCAGTGTTGATACACGAGTCCCCAGATGCTTTAGGTCCAAATATTTTTCTGTTCCCGCAGATTTTGCTTTTGTTTGGACCAGATGTTGTCATGGCAACAGTAGGGATACGAATTTTGGTGCATTCCAAACGGGATAAACAATTCATCCCAAATGGCGCACTATACGCTATGCACTTACACACTCAGCCCCCGTTTACACTAATACGGTTCCGTTTAAAAACGCAGAAGTTTTGCTTTGGATTTGCTATCCATTCACACTTCCTAAAAGTTTTCGAGCCCTGAAAACGGAGCATTTTGGTAACGCTGAAGAGGCCATTTTGGGATTTAAAACGCTGCTGCTTCATATCAGTATATGGATGGGGGGAAAACTGAGACATCTGAAAATGGAGGCGTGGCTGCAGACATTCACCCCTCTGATTGGGGCTTTTTCTCAATATTAGGTGCTCAAAGTTCAGTCTTGCATCCTTTACTTGTAAATTACCACTTCGCAAGTTTGATATGGAAAACAAACTTTACACATAGGGGGGAATATCCTCATCCACCAGTGTGCAGCATCCACCTGGATGGCGCAACAGCATCCTGCCTTGTATCAGGGGTTCAGGCTGGTGGTGGTGGTGTAATGGTGTGGGGGAGATTTTCTTGGCACACTTTGGACTCATTAGTACCAATTGAGCATGGTGTCAACGCCACAGCCTACCTGAGTATTGCTGCTGACCATGTCCATCCCTTTATGAGCACAGTGTACCCAAGCCATATTGTCACATTTAGATTTGCATGCTCTCGAGGTTTGCTGCTGATTTACCTTCATAGACGGCATTCATTCCACCTGTTGCCTTTCACTGTTTGTGAAGCGTACTTATTTTGGATTTCATTGAAACACTGGCATTCAGCAATGCTGCATGAATTCTCTTTAAGACTACTCTTTATCCCCAGCACTCACGCTATTATAGAAACAGACGCCTTTTCAGCTAAATTAGTTTCCGCTCTACAAGGGAAAGGCAGCATGATAGATTACAGTGAATTTCAGATTTAAGCACACTCAGTGCTGTGTACATCCAGTGAGAAATAAGGGAATTTAAACAGATTATATTAATTCTCCTTGTAAATATGTTTCTGAGAACGCCACAGAGATACGCTGTTTTGCTTGTTAAATGCCAATTTTTAAATTCAATTTCCACGTTTATTTTTTAATCCTGCTCACACTTGTCAGTCAATGACTTATTATGCAGAACCACACATTGAAAAGCTTCTAATGGCAAAGGATATTCCTTCATTTTTCTTAAGCTTAGTCCCTTATTAGTCAGGGGTCACCACAGCAGAATGAACCACCAACTATTCTGGCATATGTTAACACAGCGGATGTATTTCTAGCTGAAACCCACTGCTGGAAAACACCCAAACACACTCATTTTCACACACACTACGGCCAATTTAGTTAATCAATTCCCCTATAGCGCATGTGTTTGGACTGTAGGGGAAACCGGAGCACCCGGAGGAAACCCACGCCAACACAGGCAGAACATGCAAACTCCATTTAGAAATGTCAACTGGCCCAGCAGGGACTGAAACCAGCGACCTTCTTGCTGTGATGCCACAGTGCTAACCACTGAGCCACAGTGCTGCACCTTTACTGTATACACTCACCGGCCACTGTATTAGGTACACCTGTCCACCTGCTCGGTAACGCAAATTTCTAATCAGCCAATCACATGGCAGCAGCTCAATGCATTTAGGCCTGTAGACACAGTCAAGGCAAAGTGCTCAAATGGCCTCCACAGTCACCAGAGCTCAATCCAATAGAGCACCTTTGGGATGTGGTGGAACAGGAGATTGGCATCATGGATGTGCAGCCGACAAATCTGCAGCAACTGTGTGATGCTGGCAGGAAAATATGGAGTAAACTCTCTGAGGAATATTTCCAGTACCTTGTTGAATCTACGCTACGGAGGATTAAGGCAGTTCTGAAGGCAAAGGAGGATCCAGCCCGGTACTAGTAAGGTGTACCTAATAAAGTGGCCGGTGAGTGTGTATAAATAAACATAACATAAACACTTCTCAAACCAAAGTTACGCTCTTGATCGGTCTTGTTATGAAATCCGAGACTCTAGCCTGGAAATCCAATCAGAATAGCTGGCATGCAGTATTACAGTCATGTGCGGCCTGCTTCAGCTGTTCACTTGTGATCGGTCACCCGAGCTGCTTGTTAATACCAGAGTCGCTCTGGAAGAAGATCCCAAATACATTGATGTCAACGTAGAGCTGCTGAACAACAGCCTGAAGCACAAAAACAATACATAAGGAGTCATCAAGATTAATCAATACGAGCTCCGAGCTGATAATGATATTTTCACATCATCAGCTCAGATGACTGATAAACACATCGATGAAGCGTTGCATACAGTAATGAGGGATTGCCGTGAGGGACTGACGGTGTGTTCTTGTGCGAGACTGACAGGGTGGAAAATAATGCGTTTATTTCCCCTGCGGTCACACCGACAGGTCCTCTGTCCATCATCCTGAAGCTTGATATTTACAGAATAAGCATACTCAGACAGTGGGTGTAAATGTGATGATAACACGTCCCTCAACATGACATAACACTGAGGAATGGAGAGATCTTATACTAAGTGCTTGGGTAAACTCTTGTTTGTGTGTGAATTTGTGGCAACACATATATTTAAAGTGGACCCACTATGCACAAATCACTTTTATAAGGGGTTTAAACACATTTGTGTGTCAGCAGTGTGTGAATATAACCAGCCTCTAATGGTAAAAATATATTAATTCTATTGTTTATAATCAGACATGGTAAAAACAGCCTGCAGAAACACTTTGATTGACATTCTCTCAGTGTACGAGTCATCAGAGAGGGAAAGCCCCGCCCACTAGAGACCATCTCTCGCTCATTAGCATAGGACGCTTGTTTTTGAATCTGCCACTATGCTGACACACAGGCATTTGTAGCTCCACCCTCATTTGAAAAGAGCACAATCTCATTTGAATTTAAAGCGACATACACCAAAACACCATACAATTAGGATCAAAGCCTAAAAGGGTCAGTTTCACAGAGTTATTTTGAGCTGAAACTTCACACACACTTTAGGGACTTCTTATTTTGTAAAAATGGGCATAATACAGTAGGTCCCCTGTAAGGTGAAGTAGTTACAAATGTCCCATGCACTTAGTGTAGAACCTAAAGCAGGGGTCACCAATCTCGGTCCTGGAGGGCCGGTGTCCCTGCAGGGTTTAGCTCCAACTTGCCTCACAGCAAGAAGGGCATCCGCTGCATAAAACATATGCTGGATAATTTGGCGGTTCATTCTGCTATGGCAACCCCAGATTTATAAAGGGACTATATATATATGTGTATATATATATGTATATGTATATATATATATATATATATATATATGTATATATATATATATATATATATATATATATATATAGTCTGAAGATCAGATGTGAACAGTGCTGCTGGGATGGAGAATATTCACAGATCTTCACAGCACACTGCGCTTCAGAGATATCATTCACGCTATTACACACCTGACCAGCACGAGCAAGAGTTTTACACTTTATTTCAGTCTTTTGGCAACTTAAAAATGCAAGTAACACAGCATACACAAAGCAAAGTAGAGTCTATTTAAAAGCATGTGCAAGATTCTTAGAAAAATAGTTTCTATTTACTTTCAGATAACGTCTATATCTCTTCTTTTATGTAAGCATCATGGGAAGTTTGCCTGTGTCATTACATCCATGCTTTTTCGGCTCCAGTGATTTTCGGACCACTTCACCAAAGGTCGCCGGCTCTGCTGAATTCACAAAGAAAGAAAGGCGTTACAGGCCTTCAGGTGTGCATCCTGAAAAACAAATCTTGCTAATGCACAAACATCATCAGCACAAGCGAGTCTGGCAGCTGCCTGATAGAAATCTACAGATAAATTAATTTCTCGTCTCATCTCGGTTTTTCAATTTGCCCTCAGGTGATGGTGGCTGTATTGTGCGCCGTGCTGTTTTGTAAATATAATGAATCACACCCGGTGCATTTCCTGATCAATTACAAAGCAAATCTGAGCTCTGTTTAGCATCTTTTCACATCCTGTACTTGCTGTTGTTGTGACAGATAACGGGGAACTTTCCCAGAACTTTGATTAACATCCTGCCAGGATTGTCTCAACGAACAACGAATGAGCAACTGCTAGCTTTAATCGAGCATTCAGAGTTATCTGGTCTTTAATAATGTTTTCTGAACATAATCTTACAAAAAACAAACCCATTATCCTAAATGTCACTCTGTGATCCAGAATAATCTGGGAATATTCCAACCCAGGCTCACTGGAAAATGTGCCCAGGGCTACACTTTTGAGACTACCTGACAAAAGTCTAGAAGTTGATCCCATTTGTAAGAGCAACAAATAATAACTTGACTTCTAGTTGATCATTTGGAAAAGTGGTTGATCTGTTGATCTGCATCCCAATCCTCAAAAATACTGCAGAAGACCACTGGAACCAGCATGGAGCCAAGATTCTCACAGAAATCAGTCAAGTTTGGTGAAGGTAAAATCATGGTTTGGGGTGACATTCAGTATGGGGGCGTGCGAGAGATCTGCAGAGTGGATGATCAACATCAACAGCCTGAGGTATCAAGACATTTGTGCTGCCCATTACATTACAAACCACAGGAGAGGGACAATTCTCCAGCAGGATAGTGCTCCTGCTCATACTTCAGCCTCCACATCAAAGCTCCTGAAAGCCAAGAAGGTCAAGCTGCTCAAGGATTGGCCAGCCCAGTCACCAGACATGAACATTATTGAAGGTTGAGGCATTGAAATCAATCTTGATAAACTCTGGGAGTCCTGCAGAAACACTTTCTTTTCCGATTCAGATGACTTTATTAATAAGGGATTTGAGTCATTGCAGAGATGTGAAGTAACTAATTACAAATACTCAAACTACGGTAATTGAGTAGTTTTTCTCAGAAATGGTACTTTACTAAGTCATTTTATGAATGTGTACTTTAACTTGAGTACATTATCAGTGTGGTATCTGTACTTTACTTTTTTCTTGTCTAAGGGGATTAGAAAAATCAGTTCTGTCCAATCAAGTCACACATAGAAGGTAAATCTCATCATAATGAACTCCCTCAAGACATGGGCGATTTATAACTGCAGCAAACTGTTTGGAAGCATTTAATGTCCAAGAAGATGTTCAAAATCTTTACACACACTAACCCCGAGACTGTTTAGATGGTTGTCACTGATGAGAAGATGATGGATGTTTACTGTGTGATGATCGAAATAGCTTTAAACACCCAACAGGCACAAGATGTCAACATGACGTCAGATTGACGTTGTACCTCAACTTTGTGAGGGCGTTGCATTTTGTTTTGAAATGAAAGTCGAGTTGACGTCAGAACACAACATCAGGCTGACGTCAATGTCCAACATCTAACCAAAATATCAATGTTAAATGATGTTACAGCCTAACGTTGTGTGGACGTTACCCCTATGACGTCTATCAGACGTTGGATTTTGGTTGCCATACCTAAAGAATAAATGTCAGTATTTGACGTTGGAATAAGATGTTGGCTCAACGTTTAATTTTGGTCACTCTCCAACACAACCTAAAATCAACCCAATATCAACGTCATCTGACTTGTTATTGGACTTCAAAATAATGTTGTCCTTATATGCTGGCTAGACATTGAATTTTGAATCTAAATCTAACCTAATATTAACGTCTTATGACGTTGTGTGCCTGCTGGACAATAACTCGATGCACTACAGAATGTTACGTTTACACACACATGCACAAATTACATGTAAATGCATCAGCTTTTCACAGTGTAATACTCACTACTCACTACGCTTGAGAACTTTTGGGTCTACTTTTTGCTCATACTTTTAGTAATATTTACAACAGATACCTTTACTCTACTTGCATTTTTAGGCAAGTAATGGTAGTTGTACCTAAAGCCTGGTTTATACTTCTGCGTCAGGTGACCGGCGCAACCCACGGCGCAAGCAACGCGCGCAGCTGTGCATTTATACTTCTGCGCGCTGTCTCTGTTGGTCTGTTAACACTTCCGAAACGCTAGTTGGCAGTGAGGTGTAAATGCTCCTCTGTGTCGAGTTTCTTCGCTGCTGTTTTGCTTTTCCTGAACACTTCTTGGTTGTACAAGTGGTTCAAACTCGCTCATTTAAAGGCAGGACATGCAACAACTTTAACTATGAGGTAAACACAAAACAAAACTGTCCATCCGGAGCTCCTTCACGGTACTCCACACTTGTAAACAATCGCTCGCGCCATTCGCGCGGCTCTTGGTCCCGCCCAGACTCGTCAGCGCTACCAAGCCGACCAATCACAGAGCTTACGCTAGGCGTCGTTGCGACGCGTAGTTAAATTTTTTGAGAGGTGCACGTCAGTGACGACAACGGCCACGGCGAAGGGCTATGCGTCAGCGCCGTAGCATACGCCGGTGTTTGACGCAGAAGTATAAATCAGCCTTGATGGAGTCAGACACAATATTCATTCGGTCTCCTCTGCACTGTGACTTTATATTCTATACTGTGACAAGACTTTAGTCTAAGCAAAGTCAGACCTTTCTGTCCTAATTAAATCATTAAAGATCAAGACATGATCATAGTTTATTGTCAAATAAGCGTAATCTAGAGGCCTTTGCCTTTCATATAAGCTACTTCTGATACCAAATGATCAACTAGAAGTCAAGTTATTATTTGTTGTTCCTAAAACTAGCATCTTAAATACTCATATGAGCCATTTCTCGTAAATCCACCAGAGTAATTACATAATCATTGCCACTTAATATTAAGTGGAACCTAAAAAAGGAGTAATGGGTAATTTAAATTAGTTCAGTGCATTAAAGTATGGGAATGGCTGTGAAACCTGTAGCCCGTGTGTTTCCCCAGCTTTCAGAGAGGATAGAAAGCATTGTTCAGGCAGTCTGGGTAGATGTGACCGTCGGAGTCACTGAAGTCTGAGTCGAAATCTCCCTCATCGGGGTCCTGGGTCAACGGCTCCACATCGTCATCTGAGGTAGACGGGTGAGTCAGGATAATCCGAGGTATCTGACCAAATGAAGGGAAGAAATAAGACGTCACTCTTTTCACTCGACTGGCAGGAGCTGGTGTTTGACATTACACACATTTGAGTCTACGCAGTTCTCTGCAGCAGAGACATCCACACTTTATAGTTCAGAAGATCTCAACCAGGAGGCTGGAGGTACTTTAACTTAAGAGTTTGATTTCTATGTTGTTGTTTTGTTTGTTTATGATTTGGTTTGGTTTTGACACAAATTTTGGGAAGGGGGAAAATGATTGTAGGCTCTATGTGCTGAAGAATAATCTGTGTAGAGATTAGAGCTGCACAATTAATTGTTAATAGATCGCGATCTCGATTCGACCCCCTAGACCACAGGTGTCAAACTCAGTTCTAGTTAAACACACCTGATCAAACTAATTGAGTCCTTCAGGCTTGTTTGAAACCTACAGGTAAGTGTGTTGGAGCAGGGTTGGAACTAAACTGTGCAGGGATTCGGCCCTCCAGGAATTGAGTTTGACACCCCTGCCCTAGCCAATCTTAATCCAGCATTTCTACGATTCTGCCAATCATATTTTCAAGTTTAGGAGAGAAGAAAAGGCGGCTGCACGAGTCTTTTCATTGTTTCACAAACGTTGCTCAGTGACATTGACACCTCCAAATGATGTTGAATGAGTGACAATCTGTATTTATAAGGTATAATTCACCTAAAAATGTCATTTTTGTTTTAATATAATGATGTTTTCGTGATCGGGAAATCACTCATGACTACTCATGAAGTCATGAAGACCCACGTCTACTTTAGTGAACAGAATCTGCATATGTTGCGAGTAACAGGTAATACAGTTGTAAATAATATTCAGTTTGTGGCACAGAGAGATCGTTTGGGAGCCGCACGCGAAATATGAACAAGCACTTAGCAGTCAAAATGAAACGGAAAGTGTGCACTTCATTTAAATGATCATATCACATTCTAGAGTTATGATTACGACAAGCATTTGATATGTTTTTTCTGTCATAGCGAACTCGCAGCTGTGCATGAAAATAAATGTTTACAATGTCAGTATAACTACTCCAGCCTATATATTGTTGAATATAATCTGATAATGGCAAATGTCTGATTTTACCAGTGAATAAATGTGTCTAATATGACAGATTGCAAGCATATATCTCAAACATAATAATTCAACATCAGAATTATTATAAGTAGAATAGAATTATTTATAGAAGCCAGTAGACCTACACATAATATTATTATCGATGTATGTTTGTTTTTACCATAGCTTTATTTTACATCTACAGAATCGTGAGAAAATCCTGATCTTTAATTTAAGCAAAAAAAAAAATCGCGATTCTCATTTTAGCCAGAATCGTGCAGCTCTAGAAGAGATTGGATTTGCTAGTTAAAGTGACAAAGAATTTCAAAGAAATGAAATTCACCAGTGAATTGTGAATTGCAATATGCTGTATTAGGGCGGCACGGTGGCTCAGTGATTAGCACTGTGGCCTCACAGCAAGTAGGTCGCTGGTTCGAGTCCTGGCTGTATCAGTTGGCATTTCTGTGTGGAGTTTGCATGTTCTCCCCGTGTTGGCGTTGGTTTCCTCCGGGTGCTCCGGTTTCCCACACAGTCCAAACACATGCACCATAGGGGAACTGATTCACTAAATTGGCCGTAGTGTATGAGTGTGTGTATGAATGAGTGTGTTTAGGTGTTTCCTAGTACTGGATTGTTGCTGGAAGGGATGCCCTTCCATCTGCAACCCCCAGTGATGGGAAACACACACACACTATGGCCAATTTAGTTTCTCCAGTTTACCTATAACACATTTCTTTGGACCTCAAAATCAACTTTAATTCACTTCTAGTTAAAGCTGCTTCTCTCAGGTTTTCTTTTGTTGTGAATGACCACAAAATACTTTCAGTGGTCTTGAAGAGTACAGAATGTGTCTTCACCAAATTATTAAAAGAGCAACGGGACAGGAATGTTGTTATTAAGAATGTTTTGTAGAGGTGGTGTGAATTGTAAGAGAATGAAGGACAGAACGTCGGTAAAACGCATTCTGGAGATTTTACTGGGGTACACGCCTCCGTTTGACCACACATACCGTCATGGTGTGCTTCACAACCTGCAGGGCATTGTTTTTGAAGGTCTCTGCATCTTTCGCCGGCCGTAGCTCCTGTACTGAATCATTCTGATAAAAAAAAGACAAGTATCAAAAAGAAATCTTAAAAGCATTACAGTTCAAAATAGTACAAAATAGCAATAAAAATGTGTTACACTTCACAAATCTCCATTAGTAAAAGTTAAAATCGACATGAAATGAAAGATAAGATTGTCCTATTTTTCTCATCATGAAGTAATTCAATTAAAATGGTCCTGGAATTAGAAAATGTAGGGCAGGGCATGATTTTATCCTTTGGTAACCGATTGGATCATTAGAAGACGGGTGTTGCTAACAAAACAGAGGAAGATTGACCATTAGACAAAAGCAGGACAGAAAAAAAGACAAGCCCTAATAGTCCTGTCCTAAAGAACAGATAGCCCTGCCCTAAATGACTGATAGCCCCACCCTAAATTACTAATAGCTCCTCCCTAAAGAACTGATAGCCCATCCCTAATTAACTAATAGCCCCGCCCTAAAGAACAAATAGACATGCCCTAAACGACTGATAGCCCCACCCTAAATTACTAATAGCTCCTCCCTAAAGAACTGATAGCCCATCCTTAATTAACTAATAGCCCCGCCCTAAAGAACAGATAGCCGTGCCCTAAATCAGTGGTTCTCAAAGTGGGGGTCAGGACCCCCCGAGGGGTCGCGGGGCAATGAAGGGGGGTCGCCTGGTGATTTCCAAAAATCTATTTATTTTTATTAAACCATAAGAATTAACATATTTTATCCATAACTATACTGAAAATAAAAATAGTCGTTTATAGTTACTATATACTATATAGTTAGCTTATAGTTACTAGTTCTATTGGATTGCGACCCCTGGGGTAATTACATTATATTAAAGGCAGCAATAGCGTCAGATGCATTTTGATTTTATAACATCAGGTTATACTTTCTGGCACATTTAAAGCACTGACACAAATTTAATTGGTGTGTCTGCGTCACTGCATGCAAGGTTTTTGTTTTTATAACCACCTCAGAGGATATTGGGGGTCGCGAGTCACTGGCATTGTTATTTTGGGGGTCGCGGGCTGAAAAGTTTGGGAACCCCTGCCCTAAATGACTGATAGCCCCACCCTAAATTACTAATACCTCCTCCCTAAAGAACTGATAGCCCCTCCCTAATTAACTAATAGCCCCGCCCTAAAGAACAGATAGCCGTGCCCTAAATCAGTGGTTCTCAAAGTGGGGGTCAGGACCCCCCGAGGGGTCGCGGGGCAATGAAGGGGGGTCGCCTGGTGATTTCCAAAAATCTATTTATTTTTATTAAACCATAAGAATTAACATATTTTATCCATAACTATACTGAAAATAAAAATAGTCGTTTATAGTTACTATATACTATATAGTTAGCTTATAGTTACTAGTTCTATTGGATTGCGACCCCTGGGGTAATTACATTATATTAAAGGCAGCAATAGCGTCAGATGCATTTTGATTTTATAACATCAGGTTATACTTTCTGGCACATTTAAAGCACTGACACAAATTTAATTGGTGTGTCTGCGTCACTGCATGCAAGGTTTTTGTTTTTATAACCACCTCAGAGGATATTGGGGGTCGCGAGTCACTGGCATTGTTATTTTGGGGGTCGCGGGCTGAAAAGTTTGGGAACCCCTGCCCTAAATGACTGATAGCCCCACCCTAAATTACTAATACCTCCTCCCTAAAGAACTGATAGCCCCTCCCTAATTAACTAATAGCCCCGCCCTAAAGGACAGATAGTCCTGCCCTAAATGACTGATAGCTCCTCACTAATAGACTGATAGCCCCTCCCTAATTGACTAATATTTCCGCCCTAAAGGACAGATAGCTCTCCCCTAAATGACTGTTAGCTCCTCTAATTGACTAATAGCCCCGGCCTAAAGGACTAATAGCCCCTCCCTTAATGACTAATAGCCTCACCGTAAAGGACAGATTGCCCTGCCCTAAATGACTGATAGCCCCGCCCTAAAAGACTGATAGCTCCACCCTTAATAAAGACTAGCTTCTTCCTAAAGGACTGATAGCCCCACTCTCAATGACTAATAGCCCCACCCTAAATCACTAATAGCTCCTCCCTAAAGGACTGACAGCCCCACCCTAAATGACTAATAGCTCCTCCCTAAATGACTGATAGCCCCGTCCTAAATATCTTATACCTGCTCTTTAAGGACTGATAGCCGCACCCTAAAGCCCTGATAGCTCCTCCCTAAAGTACTGATAGCCCCACCCTAAATAACTAATAGCTCCTCCCTAAAGGACTGATAGCCCCACCCTAAATGACTAATAGCTCCTTCCTAAATGACTGATAGCCCCGTCCTAAATATCTTATACCTGCTCGTTAAGGACTGATAGCCGCACCCTAAAGCCCTGATAGCTCCTCCCTAAAGTACTGATAGCCCCACCCTAAATAACTAATAGCTCCTCCCTAAAGGACTGATAGCCCCACCCTAAATGACTAATAGCTCCTTCCTAATGGACTGATTGTCCCACCCTAAATAACTAATAGCTCCTCCCTAAAGGACTGATAGCCCCACCCTAAATGACTAATAGCTCCTTCCTAATGGACTGATTGTCCCACCCTAAATAACTAATAGCTCCTCCCTAAAGGACTGATAGCCCCACCCTAAATAACTAATAGCTCCTCCCTAAAGAACTGATAGCCCTGCAGTAACATTGTTTTAATAACGTCGACACCTCCCACAACCCTAAACCCAACCTATTTGGTGCAAGTCCCTCCCACGTGGAGCTCTCGAGGCTACAGCGTTATCTACCTGCTCTGAAGGACTGAAAGCCCCGCCCTAAATGACTGATAGCCCCACCCTCTAAAGGAGATTGTTTGCTCTTTGTTTCAATCGAACATTGATAAAAACCTTAATGTAAAGCATTTCTAGATCTCGTTTACTGCAGTCGGCCTAACTGATTCAGACTGATCCACTTCATGGCATTTATTCCTCTGTGAAATAACACATCAAGCTCTGCTCTCTTGTTCTGCAGCCTACATTTGCGTTTCCATTGCAGACCGTGGCTTCAGTCAGTGTGCAGGAATCAGCGGAGGGCTGTGGGCCAGCAGATCTGCTATTGCTGATGGTAATGTCCCACTCTTGGCTGATTTCGGGGTCCGTCTCTAAGGCATCAGACCTCTCGTGTGTTTGTGGCTCCGCAGGCATGCATCGTTCCCTCAACACCTTCATCTTAATGCAGCTTCCGGCATTTCTGAGGACACAGACAGCATCTTGGTGACTGACGTCCTGCATGTCCAGCCCATTGACCTGGAGGCACACATTAGAAAAGATCGGATAAGCTACGAAAACGCACTGTGAAACATGTAAAGGCCACGCTGAAGCAACAGGTGATGATTAAAGCCTTTTATGCTGGGATTACACCAAATGTGGAATAAGTATTTGTGGGAGGACATTGCCTAAAAGTCAGAGGCGGAATACCATCCCATGGTGCAAACGGCGCAAAATAATGTACTTTTTATTCATTGTTGAAGGAAACAATGTGCATGCTGGCATCATGAGGCAAAAACTCACATTGTAGCGTCTACATGATCACACAAAATCTTTCGAAAGTCTCAGTTTCAGACACCTGACACTCAGGCCCGGATTAAGAATTCAGAGTAAGTCTTGTAAGCCTGGCTGCACCCTTATAGTTGAATTAAAAAATAAGTTTAATATAACATGTTTTAAATAAAATTAATCTATACTGATGTGCCCACATTTTTAAAATAAAAGATTTACCTTATTTTTACAGCATACTTAAAAAAATACTAATACAACTAGGGAAAATTAATGGATTTTATTTATTTATTTATTTATTTATTTATTTATTTATTTATTTTTAAACATTTTTATTGTTTCAGAAAAATGTGATGCATTCATACTGTATTAGTAACCAAATACCAATCAAAGAACTCCCATCCCATCCCGACGTTCAAATAAAAAAAAAAAAAGAATAGAATAAAAAAATGCATTCTCATGCGAGGAAAGTAATACATAAACAAATAAAAAGAAAATAAAGATTAACTTAAATAAGATAAAATAATAATAAAAATAAAAATAAAAAGGGCAATTTTGTTAAAAATTAAAAAAAAATATATATATATATAAAAAATATACCATTAAAACATTGACATTTCAACATATACATTCCAGTGAAAGTGAAAAGTATATTAAAGTCAGTCATTACAAACACAATGTATATTAACAGTCACATTGTTTGGGATTACTAAACGGTCAGTCCACTCTTATTTAAAAAAATGAAGGAAGCAGTCCCAAATCTTGTAGAATATGTGCATTTTTTGTTTGATTATACTTGTTCAAGTTCGCTGAAGCATTGCTAATTTTTTTTTTTTTTACTTAAGGGTATTTTTAATGTATAACTTCTATAAACTTATGCATACTGTATGATTTGGATATAACACCTCTCCAATCCAGTTCTATGAGTCTGAGTCTTCTATAATACACAAACTTATTAATTATTCCTACTTGTCTTCCTCGTGATGAAGAGTAGGCAAAATCTGATATGTAGTTGGAGGGGGGGGACGTGTTCATCAGACGCTGGATTTGAATCGGGTTCATGATCGATTGCGTCAAAACATGTTGCCGTGCGCTTTACGAGCTACGCCACTCACGCTGCTGTCTTTTGAGCTCCTTAGTCATGTTGTCACTGTCAATCAAACAGTGATGGGCGTGAATCACTCAGCTCGCTTATTCCAATGAGGTGTGCTATTTGCACTTGCCAAAATCTGCATTAACCCCACCCCCCACCCCCCTCGCAGGGGCCCCAAATGAGCAAATGGCATCATGAGGCAAAAACTCACGTTGTAGCGTCTACATGATCACACAAAATCTTTCGCCTGTGCCCCTAATTCCCATTGGTTAATCCGACCCTGCTGATACTGCATTTTCATGTGGACACATGGCCAAACCATGTAGAAAAAAATACCTGCGTTCATGTGGACAGGGCCTAAGGAAGGTAAAGAGCAGGGCTTAATTTAAACATGGCAATGAGTTCACTGTACTCAAATGGCCTCCACAGTCACCAGATTCAATCCAATAGAGCACCTTTAGGATGTGGTGGAACAGGAGGTGGCACCATGGATGTGCAGCTGACAAATCTGTGATGCTATCATGTCGATATGGAGCAAAATATTTCCGGTACTTTGTTAAATCAATGCCACGAAGGATTAAAGCAGTTCTAAAGGCAAAAGGAGTCCAACCTGGTACTAGTAAGCTGTACCTAATAAAGTGAGAGTAGGTCAAACTATGCATCGTTTAGGCTATATGTAGATACAAACAGCTATTTTACAAGAAAAAGTATCTTACGATGCCCATCATTGCTCTGTAGATCTGCCGGTTTCAGACTGTTGAATGTTTTTTTTCTCGCATAGACTGATCGCCGTGATTTTCTCTGCAGTTTATATACAGTACACACATAAATAAATATAGATAAATAATGACAATAGTGGCGACACGGTGGCGCAGTAGGTAGTGCTGTCGCCTCACAGCAGGAAGTTCGCTGGTTTGAGCCTTGGCTGGGTTAGTTGGCATTTCTGTGTGGAGTTTGCATGCTCTCCCTGCGTTTGCATGGGTTTCCTCCGGGTGCTCCGGTTTCCCCCAAAGACATGCGGTACAGGTGAATTGTGTAGGCTAAATTGTCCATAGTGCATAAGTGTGAATAAGTGCGTATGGATGTTTCCCAGAGATGGGTTGCAGCTAGAAGGGCATCCGCTGCATAAAACATATGCTTGATAAGTTGGCGGTTCATTCTGCTGTGGCGACCCCAGATTAATAAAGCGACTAAGCCGAAAAGAAAATGAATGAATGAATGAATGAATGAAAATAGTTTGAAAACAGTTGTTTTCTCCTAAATTTCCACTGAAAAAAATGATTTAAAGATGATTCCTTGGATATCAATTTTTTTACGTTAAGTGGTTGTAAACAATTTAATTGTGTTGAATTAAAACAAACAAATTAAGTGGAACATTATTCAATTAATTTTTTTTGTTTAATGTCAACACAAATAAATTGTTTGCAACAGTTCTGCAAGCAACACTTTTTTCAGTGTGGTTATGATCTGTAAATGTCATACTTCCCTTTTAAGATCTGCCTACAGTATTAATGGTCAGTATTATGCTTCTAAATTATTGCTGTTTTGGACTTTGTGATGGGGAAAAAGTGGATGGGATTATATTTCAGTGTTTTTTTCCCACTCAGTGCTTCTGCAGTAGCTAACCAGTAAAACCTTGATCTACCAGGATGCCACATTCTTCCTTTTGTTATCGACAAATGAGTAGAAAACCTGTTTAAACACTCGTTTTGTCTGCGTTTCTGTATGGCTACATGCATAGAGTGGAAATAGCATACTTCACATTGAAGATCACAGGTCAGTTGCTTATATAAATAGTTGACGTTTTGTCATCTCGTGATTAGAAACTCTTTCTTATGGAGCTTCTGATGATGAAGAAATAAAGCTTGTGCTTTCAGTGCCTCCTCTGCGGTCCACCTGACCTACAGTACATTTCACTCAAAAGGCCAAATCTTTAGAAAAACCATGAGCAAATTTATAGTAAATTCTGGTCACATTATTTTAATGTTTAATTAATGCTCACACTTTATTTTGATGGTCCGTTTGTTGAATTTAAGTTACATTGCATCTACATGACAAGTAACTCTCATTAGATTATAAGTAGAATGTTAGGTTGGGGTTGGGGTTAGTGTAAGTTGACATGTACTTGCAAAGTGTCTTATAGTCAGGTAAATGTCTGTTGAAGGAGCAGTATCAGTAGATATTAAGCAGACAGTCTACTAATAATCAAATGAACCATCAAATTAAAGTGTTACTAAAACTGAAATACATTTTATTAATAAATTAGCTGCTATTTAAATAAATGCATACATTGGATTCACTGAAGCATGTTTTGCACTGACATAAGCCTACACTAAAACAGTTGATCCTCAATGTATAATGTTGATCATAAAATATTAAGGGACTTACTTTTCTACTTTTCTTTCAAATGTGTTTTTCTCCCTTGGAGTTTTTTTATTTATTTATTTGTTTTTGTGTTGCTTTAAGGTTTATAAGATCACACATAAACTCTTCATCAGCATCTGTGTGATGATGCCCTCCAATGGCCATCACAGAAACAGCCAGAACTCTTCCCATAGGTTCATTCAGCTGGACAACTACATATTTATATTTCTATATGTGCATATTATATTACGTTGATACATTGATATTCAGAGCATCAAGTCAAGCTATGATAAACATGATTTTGCTGACCATTAAGTGTGGTGAGATTAATTGATAGCTGCTGTATGCAAAAATAAATGAATAAATAAACAAATAAATAAGTAAATAAATAAATAAGTAAATAAATATGTAAATAAGTAACTAAATAAATATGTAAATAAGTAAATAAATAAGTAAATAATAAATAAATAAGTAAATAAATAAATAAATATGTAAAAAAGTAAATAAATGAATATGTAAAAAAGTAAATAAATAAGTAAATAAATAAATATGTAAATGAGTAAGTAATTCAATAAATAAATAAGTAAATAATAAGTAAATAAATAAATAAGGAAATAAATAAATAAATAATAAGGAAATAAACCAATAAGGAAATAAATAATTAAATAAATAATAAGTAAATAAATAAATAAGTAAATAAATAATAAGGAAATAAATCAATAAGGAAATAAATAAATAAATAATAAGTAAATAAATCAATAAGAAAATAAATAAATAAATTAATAAATAAATAAAAACATTAATTAATTAATCAAAAACTTTTAAAGTATTTTCAACGTAAAAAACTATAGTAGTCAAAATATTTTAAGTTAAACATTTTTTTACAGTCAGTAATAAAATAAGAGCAAAGAATTGGATTACCAACTAAAAATAGAAATATAAAATAAAACTAAAATGCAAATTAAATTTGAGTAAAAAAGCTAATTGCTTTGAGAATTCTAGATTAGACAGAAATAAGAAATAATTTGGAAAGTGTATAGTAATCAAGTCGTATAAGATTTAAAAATGTCTGTGAAATAAAGGAACAGCACTTCATATACTGATTTTCTGTCTTTGTTATTTGATTAAAATTAATCAAACTCTGTCTGTAAGTGGAGACACGATGAAACAGTGGTTAGCACTGTTGCCTCACAGCAAGAAGGTCTCTGGCATTTCTGTGTGGAGTTTGCATGTACTCCCCGTGTTGGTGTGGGTTTCCTCTGGGTGCTCTGGTTTCCCCCCCCGTCCAAACACCTGCGCTATAGGGGAATTGAGGAACTAAATTGGCCATGGTGTATGAGTGTGAATAAATGTGTATGGATGTTTCCCAGTACTGGGTTGCAGCTGGAAGGGCATCCGCTGTGTAATACATATGCTGGATAAGTTGGTGCTTCATTCCACTGTGACAACCCCTGATAAATAAGGGCAATGAGATGGATGACAATAAATCAGACCAATAAAATAAAAAAAAAGAATTATGACTGGAATTATAAAATGTTCATTTATTTAAAGAAGTTTCTCTCTTGGTTATTTTTACACAGTGAATGCTCTTCCAGCTGCAACCCCATGTTGGGAAACACCCATACACTCTCACATTCACACACTCTTATACACTACGGCCAATTTAGTTCATCCATTTCCCCTATGGCGCATGTCTTTGGACTGTGGGGGAAACCGGAGCACCCGGAGGAAACCCACGCCAACACGGGGAGAACATGCAAACTGACTCAGCCAGGACTTGACCAGCGGCCTTCTTGCTGTGAGGCCACAGCGCTAACCACTGAATGAAAGACACAGTAGTTGAACTTTTTTTCACTGTACACACATAGGAGGGGGTAAAATGGACAGTTATTCATTCTACCACTGAAATCAAGCACTCCCAACCAAATCATGTTGCTCAGTTAGTGATTAAATCAATGTGTCATTAAGCAGCGCGTGTTGGTTCTGGTTTTACCTCCAGCACTCGGTCCCCAATGTGAACCCCGGCCTTCTCTGCAGGTCCACCTCTCGACACTCTCGAGATGAAAATACCCTGAAAGCAGGAGAGCACAACAATCAGTGGCCGGAAGGACATACATATACAGCTGAAGACAAAACGATTGGTCCTCCTGTGAAATGTAAATTAAATTAAAATATATTTTACAGAGCTCAGCATAATTGAGTACAGCCCATTTTGAAAATGCATATTTTTCTCCATTTCTCAGTGAACATAGGCAGTGTATTTTGGTGCATTTAAACAAAACAGATTTATTAAACAGATGTATTTATTAAATTACTATTTTAGTCACCAAACATATTTAGAAATCGGAAGATAATACAATTAAATTCATGCAAAATATTGGGAAAATAAATTACAACCTATAAATTTCAACAACATTTTTTCAATTTTTTTGCTTCTTTTAATTGAATTTTTAATTTAATATTTTCTATAATATATAAATTTGGCTGTGCTAGTTTTTGGGCCGTTATCGTAAGTTACTTTGTTAGATAATCTCCAGATTTAGCTTCAGTACTGACTAATCTAATGTATAAACAAATATAATATTGTATGGCTTCCTATTAAAAATATTAATTTAAAAGAGAGATTTGTGAGGGGTGTACTCATATTAGCTGAGCACTGTGTGTATATATGTATATATATAGTGTGTGTATATATATATATATATATATATATATATATATATATATATATATATGTATATTTATATATATTTATATATATATATATATATATATATATATATATATATATATATATATATATATATATATATATATATATATATATATATATATATATATATATATATATATATATATATATATATATATATATACATATATATATATATATATATATATATATATATATATATATAT